CTTCGGGGGGGACCTAATTCTTACTTACGCCCTGTTTGAACAAAGCTTGGCAAACAGGTTTTTTACCGTTGACCCAGCAAACACCCGCGGGGACATAGATCCTGTGTATCAGTCCGTGAATCCATGATCATCTCCCGGGGGACTTGGTGGGGGCATAGATAAGTTGACATTTCGTGAAAGGCGGAACCGCTGTAAATCTGCAATCCGCCAATGCTATAAACTGTGTAGTGAGCAACGGTTGGGACACTTTGTGGACAAACGAGGTGTGTTGTTTTCCCAGGTAGCGCAATTACCTGAAACTGCTTCACCGGGGGTTCTCGGCATCGTCTCAAATCCTCCTCACGTTTAGCGGCCTATCTTTTATCCTGATGTTCAAAGGCTACTTACCGAGCCCTTGCCCTTTTGGAGTATCCGTCCTAGTCTGGGAAGGAAAGAAGCAGGTATTTTTGGGTGGATCAACCAAAGTTGTATTTTAGCATCCTCGTCACATCCATAAACTGTAAGGTCATGCCCCCGGATATACTGTTACCGAACCCTCCTCCGAAGTACAATCCCTTGAGGAACACGAAGTTGTGGGCTGTTTTGCTTATCTAGAAATGTGTGCCTGCTCCCGCCGTATTATAGTAGATGGGGCCGATGCACCAGTCACCGAATTCGGGTCGCCTTTTTATAGATGATGACATGTCATATAGCTGAATTTCAAGAAACACGTGCATCAGGCTACAGCACCGGCGGTTTTTGTATAGATGTGAGACGTGGTTTCTGCGAGCAGCGAAATGGACATCTTTAGGTCTTCACTTACCATTTCCTCGGAACTGTAGCTCGTGTAGGTTGGTTCTGTCGAATGAGACAGTTGAAAAGTGGTCCGTGGCACACCTGGGACTTAAAAATCTATCCACCACCAAAATCTGCGTTGTTTTGGCGTAATACGCTTGCCAAACTATCGTTTGCGGAAAAGAGGGCTGTCCCATCCAGAGTGGTGCAAGCAGAGAGGTTGTAAACTTATATGACAGAGGGGTTTGAAAACAGTTAAGAAAAGCTTAGACATTGCCGGCGTCACTCGCCTTTCAGAATCCATTTGCGCATGTTTTAAGATGCTGCGAGCTGTGGTTGTTAACCTATATCAGTGGCCCTCTTAGTATTTTCCAACCGGATTGTCTGAAAGTGTGGACACATCGGAGTAGTTGTGTTAAGCCATTTATTGCCTTTCACTCGTTCTTTACTTCACTGTATGGCTTTCAATCAAATTATGATCGTGCGACAGGATCCACGATATTGTGGTGTCTGTTGATGACCGAATGGGTGCAGTCGAACAGTGTGTCTTGAGAGCGAACCCTCGAACAAGTTGGTACGAGAGTAGGGTAACGTTAAATTTGCCCAGTAGTAGCAGAAAAACCACAGTGATTACCTTTAAAAGGCAGCCTATGTGTGACCGTCCTGGCACTTGTCCTTGGGAGAGCGATATTGCAGCCCAACGACTCACCTAGTCTCATTAGTGAGGGAGAAGCTGTAGAAGGTGGTGTCTGTCATCTGTAAGGAAGATTGCTGCAGCGATGCGGTATTATTGTTAATACACTTCGGTGTTAGGAAGTGATCACAACCTTCGGATTGAGGACCGCATCTTACAAGTGATAACACCGAAATTCGAATTTCGGAGTCCAGTATCGCGGGAACTAACCACGTTTCTGTAATCGCGGTGCGGTCCCCGCTTGAAGATTGAGTTCGGTCCAGTAGCCTATCATATTCCATGGGAGAGTGGGGTGGGGGCGAGTGGCCCAAGAGGTGGCAGCACTGACCGCAAGATCCGTGGTTCGAATCCAACCTCTGCCTCTCGACTTCCCTAGGCTTGGCTTGGGCAACCTGCCGGTATCCAAACTCTCGTGCTTCCTTCGGGTAGTATGGCAGCTAGGCGCCGAAAGGGTATTACAGCTGAAAGATTATTATTATTATCCTGGACTTCAGTGTAACAACAGGTAAGAGAATTGCAATTTAGAATTCCCAGGCTGTCGTCAGGATTCGCACACCTTTTGTAACCGACCCTTCTTGGACCGAGATATGAGAGATTTTCGGGGCGTTGATGGTGATCGAGTCAGTGTTAAGAGTTAGGGGTGCAGCCTTGTGTTAGTTGACTGGATTTACCGTGAGTCGGATATAAGATCCTGTTTGTTGCACGGCGTAAGCGTATCAATGACGTTGCTTTTCGGAGGAAGTACCACACTGCCAATGTCTGATATGTCATTTTAGTTGACAGCAAGAAAACGGTGAGAATACGTGGACCAATGCTCTTGTAGTTGCTTGAGGTGAGCAGATGGGATACTTCAGTGGCCAGAATGCTGGGGATGTCAAGGAGCCCTGGGATATAATTCCATTCAGTGCAGTCATAACGATAGTTTGTTGTCAGCTCCGGTCCGGCCGACTCCGGTCCTCTGTGGATGAGTTGCCGATTTACTGTTACGTTCGGTCTTAAACTCGTTAGGGTGTGCGTTACGGCTTCTGATCTTTCCTATTCTGGCAATATCTTGGTGTGGCATTGGGCTTTTCTGTAAGTTAGTTCAGAACCGTGAGCTTTGCAATGGCACCCGTGGTGGAGTAACATGCACCGCAATTCCCACTCTTTTTCGCTTTTCGGACTATCAGGGACAACAAAGTGGATTCGTGCATATTAGTCCAGACCACCGTTTAAGAGTCTAGCTGTCCGTCCGAAGTGGCTTTTCTATCAGATGAGGCCTGTGGGGTTGATAGTCTTGGTCCTATCAGAGATCTAATGTTTGGATGGGGTTGGCTGGTTTGCACCGCAAACAGACGTTCTGGCTTTGAGTAGCGCTTTGGATATCTTTTTTCAGTGGTCGTTTACATCCGACACACACACATTGCCCACGATGGAATACCCCGGAAGTTCGTGAACATAATGAGCCCTTTGTATTCTCGGACTTCCGGACGTGTGAGAGTATACGGTGAGCTCTCCAAAAGTTTCCGTATACAAAGCGTTGTCCGTCAGGGATGCCCACTCTGTCCATTCCTATATGATTTCGTGATCGAATACTGTAAAGTTTCCAAAACTCCGGTGTTCAAACGGCTTGTGACGAAGACCTTGTCGATCTGGAACATGCGGACAACATCGCTCCCGTTTTCGAAGAGCAGGAGAAGGCGCAGGTGTTTTTGAATGAACTGACAAAAGTCATCCCGTCCACTGGTATAAACTTCACACCTACGAACTGTAAGGTCATGCTCCTAGACATGCAGTCACTGAACATGCAATTTACAGTCCAGGGTGAAGCACTGGGAGTTGCGGGACCTTTTACATACCTTCGAAGTTTTACTAGTTCTGATTGTAGTATGACAGATGAGGTCAATGTACGAATCTCCATGGCCCGGGTAGCGTTTTTTAATTTGAGACGCCTAGGGCATCAAAGTGCTGTATTCCTGAATCTCAAGGGGAGTGTGCATCAAGCTCAGTGCAGGCTGCTTTGTTGTATGACTGCGAGACTTGGCCTGTTCGGTCAGTGGAGCTGGAACGTTTTCAGGTGTTCGACAATCGTCGTCTCAGAACCATAGCTTGTGTGGGTTGGTGTCAGCGAATCAGTAACGGGGCGATTGTAAAGCGAGTTTTCGGTTGTGCAACGGGTACTTCCATTGAACAATGTGTCCAGCAGCAGAAACTGCGTTGTTTGTGACATGTGCTGCGTATGCCTAACCACATCTTTAGCCGAAGAGAGTGCTGAGAGTCGAGGAAGCAGAGAGGTGGCCAACCCTTGACCTAACAGAGAGTACGAGGGAGATTACGAGACGTTTTGATACTGTCGGTGCTACTCGCCTTCCAGGATGGGGACCTCGTGATCCCTACTGCGCCATGTTGGAAATGCTGGGAGGTATGGCTGGCAATCTATATCAGTGGCGTTCTTATCAATAGCTATCCAGATTGCCTGATTGAGCGTTTGGAGGTGTAAGCTTCTTGGAATGATTGTAGTAAGCTTTCTCTGAGGCCCTTCCCTGTCCACCTTTATTCTTTCTTCACAGTAAGGCTTCCAAATAAGATATGGTTGTACGGTAGCGAAGCATCGGTGCTGAACATGATGGCATGCCAACCCTTGACCTAACAGAGAGTACGAGGGAGATTACGAGACGTTTTGATACTGTCGGTGCTACTCGCCTTCCAGGATGGGGACCTCGTGATCCCTACTGCGCCATGTTGGAAATGCTGGGAGGTATGGCTGGCAATCTATATCAGTGGCGTTCTTATCAATAGCTATCCAGATTGCCTGATTGAGCGTTTGGAGGTGTAAGCTTCTTGGAATGATTGTAGTAAGCTTTCTCTGAGGCCCTTCCCTGTCCACCTTTATTCTTTCTTCACAGTAAGGCTTCCAAATAAGATATGGTTGTACGGTAGCGAAGCATCGGTGCTGAACACTGATGGCATGCTGTCGATGATGATAAACCCTGCACTGTTACTCAAATAGGCGCCGATGATGTCATTCCGATCGGTAGAGAAACGTTTGCAGAAAAATTACTGAGCCTTAGTCTTGGCAGTCAGCAGCACTACATGAGCTACCCTCTTCTGTATTGGGTTTTACAGTTGTCTTCAAAATAGCAGGACGGTGAAGAACAGGAAGTCATTTTCAAATCATTCTCGTTGTAATTTTTAACGACAAACTTGTTAACTTTGCAAGCTTATTTCATCCATCTTGTAGTACATACATAAAGTGATTGGGTGGAGTAGGTCCGGACTTAGGAAAAACTGCAATACTCTGTTCCGGTGTTAAGCATTAGAACGACTTGTGCGACTTATTCCCGAAAACGACTTCTGTCTGCATTATTTTCTTGTCCGATTTCAGGTTACCATCGGATAACTTATATATTATTTCAGACTGATAGACTTCCATAACGCAACTGTCTTAAGTGACGTGATTGGTGCGACCAGAACTCATGCCTTACCACAAATTGATACCTACCGATGTTATGCCTACCACAACGTCCATCACTGAACAGATTCCATCAGAGGACCGTGAGTTCCTTTTGTCTTTCGGCATTTTTCTGCAGCTCCGCCATATTCTGTTATTGATCCTAACCTCCAAGTACCTGAAAACGTACGCCCACCTGGCGGCCCGACCCCTGTTACATCATTGGGTTGCTTCAATGGTGCTGCTGTGGAACGTTCATCCGAGGCACCGGGCTCATCACTCTCGACATCAACACTCCCAAACACTAGTGCCTGTTATGGCTCTACTTTACCCCGTGAGTTTCCGTTTCTAACATGCTGTGTGCCCTTATTGGATTTAGTCACTTGATTGTAGTCAACGTTATCCTTCTTCACCCCGTTTTTTTCGCATGTGGCAATTTGGGCAGTAGTTTTCACCCACTATCCATTCGAACTCGAAATGAATCCGTGTGATCCCACTGAGCATATCGAGTTACTATGTCGGAATCGACGAGCCATAGTTTGACGACGTTGATTCAGTTTCCGTGGAGTTCCACCCAAGAGGAATTTACAACGAGGATCTAGAAAAGTCTTCGTGGCCATGAATCACCTGTTCGTTTGCAGTTTTCCTCTTGGGATCGGAGAATGAGCACATGAAATCAGTGCAGTTTAATACACAAAGACACATGCAGTGAGTAGTTATGCGCAGACAATTTGGACAAAAGCTGTAGAAACTAGTAGTATTCAGTGTGCTTTTCACTGTGACCCCTATAGTCAACTCTGATGATGCTATGTGTCTTCAGTTATCCGAGGAACTCGAGTTTCAACCAACTTTTTGAACTGACAGTTTGCCATGAAGTATAGAAGGTGGAAACACACCGCGCATCCGGTCGATTCATGGTTTGATTTATCGACCAGTAGGCAACAATTGGCGTTTTATTACATTAGGTACCAGCAACCACTGACAAAGTCATACGAATTCAGCCAAAACATAAATTTGGGATAACTACGGAAGATACGCATCTTGAGTCACGGTGAGTTTTTTCACCTAAGTTGATCTGTGAGACCAGTTGATACTTGTGTTAGTTTCAACATCATTTTTCTCTTAACAGCGCTCTGAGTACAAGGCAGACTCCCTATCAGGAGCATCTTACAAAAACTTTGTTCCCCAATCAATGGGAACGGGTTTGGACTTGACTCATTTTCAATGAACATTCTCGGACTTGAATCTCCTAGGCTTGTTAAACAAACTTTGCTAGGTGGTATAACGTCATATCACTTTGGATTCTAAAGTTGCATGCTTGGCCTCACCTCTCACTTTTTGTTACCATTTTCTCCCTTTTGTCAAAGTTGAAAGCCATGTTGGGTTTCTGCAGGATCCGTTTGCGTCCCGGTTCTGTAGATAGTAGTTCTGTAGCATAGTAGATAGATCCAGACCATTTCGAATCCTCTCTACGATTCATGGTAGCCTGTCTACGGTGCGCATGAGAGAGAAGTTGTGTAGTGTATATCATGTCACGTCCAACAATTCTTGAATGATTTGCTGTTCTTCAGGGACTCCTGCGAGTTGCGTTGGATGGATTTCTGTTGGAAAGTCCCGTCTCTGTTGAACCCATCAAGTAGCCAGGAAAATTTACCCATCCGCTTTTTAGTATTTTCAGCTGTGTATTTCAGTCAGTCAAACTCATTAACAGAGTTTCAATACGAAGTCAAGGACAGTTAACTAATTTGTGCCACCGTATAAGCAGTTTTGCTAGGTTCCGTTTGTTGGGCGTTTTTTTGTTACGTTTCTGAAGCAGCCAGTCGTGTAGCTATGGGGACACAGCGGATCTGTCCACTCTACTTAAACCACAGGATACTGATGAGTTTCCACGAAGATTTTCTACAAACCTCCAACACAACTGTTGCACCGCTAGTTTTATGAATTTCCTTTTCACCACCTCATTGAACTAGAAAAGTGTGAGTCATTCCGAGTGATCGGTTTTAAATAAATGACAGAAATTCCAGTTTGCCCTCTTAAGACTCATACGAATATGTCGCAGTAAGCTGGCTGGTGAACACTGTCCACATTGGGGGCGTCATCTGGATCGTACCGGCCTTGTTTTGTTTTAGGTTGTCAAATAGGTCCGTCTAGGAACTACCATCTTGCAGTACTCACGTGTCTAAAAAATAGTTCAGCTATTGCACCCTTTCGATGCCTTCGTGCCATACCACACGAAGGCACGAGGGCTGGGATCCTGCCAGGCCGCCCAAGCCTAGAGGGGAAAGTCGAGAGGCACAGGTCGGGTTCGAACCACGAACCTTCTGGTCAGTAAATTCGCGCTCTAATCACTTGGTCCATCTCGCGTGTCTGCAGGCAACTTAACAATACAGATGGCAATATAGCACTTGGAAGAGAGTTATAGTTCAAAATAATTCAACGGATTCGAAGACCAAATTATGTGTTGCTTGTTCTTGGTGTCGCTACCTGCATATAGACTGTGTGCGGGAAAGTTTTAGACAGCCTGAGAAAACACTTTTTGGGAGAGTTCCGTTGAGAATCTACTGTCGTTACTCATATGAACTGCCTGCACCTAGTTGGATTGTCTAGTGTTTATGCAAAATAGGAATATAGTTCAAATTATTAGTGACAACACTCTTGCATCCAGAGTCTACGGCAGTTCTGCCGATTTCACGAAGAAGGATGCACAGCACCTAAGCGAATGTTTGTTGGCTTGTAGTTGTTGGAGTGACGCTATGGTCACATCCTTTGACCTAAGAATTTTATCGCATTCAGTCAAGCATTTATTTCGGGTACTCATGCAGACAGTTGTGCTTACCGGTGCTTCTCCATTCACCTTTTACTCAGAAGTGGAGCTACTGATTAGATCTGTATTGTAAGTAATAGCAAGAGGACGAATATTGCCGATGGTAACAGTAGTGATCTTTACGGCCACTACTCATTACAATGCACATTGTGGATTCAACAATCATTGAACTATAACACTTTTTCGGTGCATAGCTGCCATGCCACACGAATGAGGCACGAGGGTTGGAATACGTGCTTGCTTACGTGCTGCAATCAGTCAACTGGCGCTATGTTACGAAAGCGATGGCTGTAGAGTGTCTGATGATCTTTAGGGTCTCTAAGGCTAAGGCACTAAGCTTCAAACCATAAAAACACTGTTCTTACAGGTGCCATCTATGCGCAACCCCTTAACTTCAGCGAACGTCGTTAATGGTGCTGAAAACTATGGATTTTTGCAAAAGTCACTCACGCTTTGATGATAGGTTCATTGAGGTAGCCGGTCGCAGTACGTTCACTGCTTGTGCATGTGTGAAGGTACATTAACCGATCAACAAACTCAAGCTCTTCAATTCGAAGTTTTAAGGTGGGGACAAGGTGGCTGAAAACCTTGAAGCAGCATCGTTAACTTGGAAAGTGGGATCCGAAACGTGGGACCACTTACGACGTTTCTTTCGGAGTACACCGCCGAATAGCAGAACGTGTGTTGTCCTGGTTTGGTCTTGATGAACTAACCTTTCTCCAGGTGCCATCTTGGTCTGAGTATTTATAGTATCTTGACTATATTAGCGACATAATTGAAACAGAAAGCATACGGAAAACAACTTGGACTACCCCCACTAATTGTGCGAAAGTTGTGTGAGCTTCAACGTAATCAGGAGTGTTGGACTGGAGTACCAAGTATATGTGCAAACACTAATTGCATTCCTGTTTCTCCAGTTACATGTAGGAGAGTTGATCCACCTTCACAGTCAAAGTTCCTACTGAACTCGAGGAACTCAACGATTGTTGGCGGGCATAATGTATGGTTATAGTAAATGCCATCCACACCTGGTCGAAATCCTAGCTGATGGTCTCAAATATTTGTTTGAGGGAGTAAGGCGTCGCGATATTAGGGAAGTTAGTAGCCGTACTATCCTACCGAAAGGACTGACTACCATACCAGCTGTTTATTGGGACTGGTCTAGCAGACGAACAATAAGTCAGTCCAACTGTGAACAGAATTCCCACTCACGCACCAATCGTTGTTGAAGTATTAGGGGCACGCACTTTCCGTTCGTCGTCTCCGGGTCCGGTTGCTCACCTGAATGTCCGATGGTGGTGTTTGTATATTGGTTTGACACCCCGCTACTCCCCATTTATTGAGCTGCGTTACATGTCTTGGCACATGTAATCGGATTAAATTCTGATGTTAGCGCACTCGCTGTTGTGTGCCGTCCGGTTCCGAATCTGCGTCGTGAACTTTCATAATTTTAATGTGTACGGACCATTAGGCGGCAACAATCCGGAAGCCTCAAATACCTCTACTCATGCAGTATCCTGTTAGTATGATTATTTACTGTAGAAAAATACAGTTTACAGATTATGTTGTCACACGGAATAAGAAGTGGTGTTTCATCGTTCCACTAAGCTTGGATATCACAACCGATTGCGTGCTTGTCCAAATCAATCAGTGCATCACACGACCAACAAATCACGACTCCGACCAGAAGGTTAACGGCACGATTTCCCAGAAGTTCAGTGTCAACTGTTCACGGGTTCGATGCATGCTAACGGCTAGGGCTAACGTGTGCAGTGAACATTAGGATTTAACTTTAGTCCCAGAGGGACAAATTCACATATCTGCCCACACAGTAGTCGGAACTGGTGTGTGGGCGACGGATCACTGATTCTACATATGCATTTATATGGAGACGTGGTTGTTGTTTCTGGGTATCGGGAGAAAGTGATGCAACTGAGTAGGTAGTGAATGTAACGGATGTCCGGAAATCTCAGTATCTGAGTACCGTAGGGTAGATGAGTTGGGATCTAACAAAAATGCGGATTTTTGTTGGTGCACTCACATCGAAAGCACTGGGGGAAGTGATGTTCGTTGTGTACGTGATTTATACTAATGTTAATGTTGGTCAGATTCATTAGTCCTTGCAGTTGAACAAACCGCAATGTTTGACGAATACCATGCAGTTCAGGGCTGGAAAAACAAACAACCCTCGAAACATACTTGTGTCACAAATTAATTGTACGACTATTTATTTCTAAACGTGGAACTTGTTTGTACAGTTGGCTTTTGATTGTCATTCTCAGGGGATGGTGTGTCTTCCGTCATAATTTATGCCACTACAGTTTGAGCCTTCCCGTCCTACTTCACTTGACATAAGTGATTAGCAGTTTAGAGAAGGTAGTAAAACCACTCCACCCTACAAGATACAAACTTGTGGTACCCGGAACTTTTCGCTTGTAAGATGAGGCTTACTGTTTGCCGACAATCTTGTGTTGGCACAGAATGGTGCATATGACAGGTGGGATGATCCGATATCTGTATATCATCTAGGGTGAGCTGGAGATAGCCTATATCCTGGTCAGCACAGACTTTATACTGATGGGCAGCCTAAAGAGGAAGATTTGAAAACGGCAGGTGCACAATCAATCATCCTTTTAGTCGGAACCCGCTTTGGACTATCCTAGGGTACCTTGAAATCAGCTGCCAAGCTTCATCTCGCTGAGTTGCATACTTGTTATTATGTGATTCAGTAGTCGGCTCAACATGTTTGCTACTCATCCGTATTTATGCAAGTAAGTGCATTCTATTGGTCTTAATCGTTGGTCGAACGGAACTGGAAAAATATGGGTGGTCATTGCTTGCTGCATGTCCGCGGTATAATAAGGTAAAGTCATCTAGCCGGGTAGTCAACATGTAGCTCGCTCTGAAGGATAGGTACCCGTTGGAGGACGCTTGCCGCTCCGTTTCCGAGGGCACATCCGGAATCACTCGCTTCGCCAAAGTCGCTTCCTGGGAAGGAGTTATCGTTAATTGGAAAGGTAATGCATTCGGCAAGTGTAAGCTGGAATCTATCCCGGTGTAGGCGTTTGTGTGTTTGAGTATTGGGGTGTCATACTGGTTTCCGACAAGATCATGGCTTCTGTTTTTGAATCAAGGCCCCCAGTTTATGTGACGGTTGAGTGATGTTTTCTTGATGAGTGTTGAGGTACACTTACCGAGGCAATGGGACAATCGGCGTAATTTTTTATGATGGTTGCTACATCAGTGCTGAACATATGGTGTGGATGAGAGCCTGTGGGAATATCTGTTCGATTTTCCGTGTCGTTCGCTTCTTGAAAGTTTTCATCTGTTCTTTCTTTAATCGGTTGAGTTCCCTTATGGCTTCTCTCCAATCTAGCCGTTGTGATTACCGCGGAACCCGTTTCCTACCAAGAACATGAGGTTGCAGGACGGGACCCATATGTGACCTATTGTCCTCAGTGCTTCCAGATGGTCCTCACGCGCACCGACCCACAGGCGGGAGAACTTACCTTCATTTGCTTTATCTTCTTACTATGCTTTATGTAAGTTCACCGTTAACTTCTGTGTATCGCGTTCTCCGAGAGAACTGCCTATTTTCTGGGCCCACATATCTTGTATTCTGCGTGTCGCAAACACCACCGAACGAAATAAAATAGCTTTTTTGTCTCCAAGCAATTGACGAATCTCACGATACCCAAGAAAATGCAATGTCTTTTTCCTTGAGTCTGATTCTTTCAGCGCAAGACGCATGCTTAGTGTCGTCCGCAAAATCAGATTAGTTTCTTCCGTATTCTACCTCCTGTGTCTATCAATGCCTACGAGGTCCCGCTGAAATTATTGCATTCGTACCCTTTTTGAAAGGTTTTTATCGCATTTACCTAGTTGGCTGGCTTCGCTACACGAACGCGAACGACAGAGTGAATTGCTTAATATATTGATCTACATCTGGTAGCTTATAGGTGGCTCCGACTGGACCCTATTGGTCCGTACGACTCGTTTCTCATTCTGGTCGAAAAAGCTTCACTGAAATCAACTTGTTCGGTGCATTTCCTTGCAAATGGCATTGTGTATCACTCCTTTTCTCACTCAGTTCCTAGCTGGTATGGGATACGTGCTTAATTTTTTGTCTTGTCAGGACTATTTTAATAGGAGCGGACTGTGGTACATGTTTTACAGGCGTTTTTGTGTGCCTAGAAGGTTGATAAAACTTCTTAGACAGCTCACCACGCGTTTCGCCCTTCTTGAGGATCACCGGGCAGACCAGTCAGTTCCATATCCCACCCGAAACCAAATTTTACGTAAGCAGAGTCATACTCATTTGAAAATTAACCGGTGACTCATTTGAATATCAGGTGAATCCCTAGTTGATGGTATTTAACTGAATGTGCTTCACAAATGCTACCGTTGAAGTGGTATTATGCCAAGAAAAATTCTTCGAGATTTTGAATGTCGTCCCAACACAAACATAAGCTCCGTGGGACATTTAGTTATAGCTTATTATCAACGATAGATTTAGCATGTATTCAGCGGATTCTTCCAGGGACAATAAACTTATTATGGAAAAGCTTAAAAGCAGTTTATTGGAATGACTCAACCGTATATACGAATTTCAACTCACATCCTTTTGTTTAGGTTTTCGTAGGAAAAAATCCTTGTGGACGATACGTATTTAAATTAACGATTCGTCGGAAACGTGTACTGTGAGTGCCGTGATGTGGCGGCGCGTTGTTTTGAGAAACTTCCACCCCTTCTCACCTCAAGATATTCGGAATCGAAATGAGTCTACCCAAACGCACGCAGTGGCTAAATGCTGAAGAACTTCTGAGGTTACATTCTTAAACTCCTAGGACTATCATGCAACATACTTGGAGGATTCGAGGCGCTACCACTGAAGGGAAGCGCGCCGTCGAGCGCGGAATTGTTTACTGACCAAAACGAACCAAGCTGTTGGTCAGGAAAGTAAAAGCTTCCTTTGCACAAAGTTTTTGAAAAGTGAGCACTTTCAAGCATCATCTGGATATTTAATAACTAAACAATAATGACCTAACACCGCAAAACGGTGCCATTAGATGCAGTGACGCTACTTTAATATTAGGCCAGACAGTAGCATAGACCGTCACACCAAAACCAAAACAACTCAGAGCGGCATTATCTGTGCGATATCTTTCCATTAGTAAGTTGCAGAGGTGGATTTATCTTGAATCTTTGAACCTTGAAGTCTGTTCATTTTAGTACTGATCATAATATTCAGTAGCGAGTTATGCTCTCATAATAGGTTTATCGATAGCTCATTTGAATTAGAAATGTGTTCCATGGTCGTCACCGTTGGGGCCTGAAACATCATCGACGACATAATACCAATTTTTAACACCGATACTTGGATGCCGTAAGACAGTTACGCCAGAGACCAACAAACATTTTACTTCTACTGTGTGGTCTGAAATTAAACTTTCCGTAGTTTTCATTACTTCCAAGTTTGTATCTATCCGCCCAACTACGTCTGTTCATTCCTACTGTTTTTCATTCCAGCGGCCCGTTTGCTCTTCTGGTTTGCTTGTTCGACACCTGTAAAGACGTCGCGCATTTCTGCCCCGTATGTGGAGAGAAGATTTCAACATATCGTGCCTTGCGAGCATGACGGGGCAAAGCTGAAATCGACAATCCATTTTGCCAAAAAGGATTTTTGCAATATTTTCCGGCGTTTCAGACGGCACAAAATTGGACAATCATCCATTGGACATTCATTCCTGCTGCACACCACACTTTGATTTTCCTGTTGCTTCAGTATGTATTTCTTTCCAATACTCTGTCTTGATTAATTCTTATCATGTGTTTTCGCAAAAAAGCCAACAATTTTCGGAGAGCCGCTTGGAATATTTTTATAGCTTAATGCCTTTCTCCCCATTTTACTCACTGTTGTATCTTGAGAAATTTCGAGCTCTCTTCTATACGGATTACCATGAATACCGGTGAATGTATTTTCTTCAGCTACCTGCATAGCGTTGTGACTTTGACTGTAATACATCATGGGGTGCCTTACTTTACACAGCATCAAATTCACACTGTAACCTTTTTTGCGTGGGAAACTCGGCTTGCGGAAACCAGGAATTGTGTGGCGCAGGGATTTGGACATTTTACTCATACTAATCGAGGTTCTCATAGTCGCATTCTAATCATCAGTGGACGACAGTCGGAAACAGAACGTGTGTTTGAGTAGATTGGGTTAAAAATTTTACGTTAGAATGCTTAGATTTGCGCATACCTACGTTTTCACAGGTAAAATGATATTGCCATTACTGCGGTACTTCATTCGACGTTAATAGCTAATCTTGAACGCTGGACTAAACTTGAGGACGAATGAAGGAATTTGTTCCTACGCCAAATCGTTGGCGTCTCTTATCAAGTGAAGCTCGTGTGCCACTTTCAAAGTACGCATATAGGACCAACTCCCGATGAATGAGACAAATGGTATGGCTCGCGAGTTGTGTATACACTGCATACGTACACCGCACTTACACTCCCCTTTCCGACCCGGTCATTATTGTCTGTCGGCAACGCATGCTCTCTCCAGTCTGGTTTGCATGACCGAAATTGCACCCATGCTGTTCCACACTACTGCACGAACTGGGGCCATTAATTGCCCAGCCTGACCTGATGCAGCAAGCGAATCCTCCAAAAAGGATACCACTCTCGTAGTGCCTTGCACTTATAACAACCAACTGGCCACATGACCTTTGATTTGAGCTGCCTAAGGTGAAAGCATAATCCGCTTCCCACTAACCTGATGGTATCCCTACTTCCATAAAACCAGTTTCTATGGTAAAGTGCTGTCAAACGGGCTTACCCATGGGTGCGTCATTTGATCGATTAACTTGACACACTGGTTTGCCGAAAAAATCTAGTAAAAAACGAAATCAGACTTTAACCAAATGATCAGAAAGAAAGAAAGAAAGCGTCCAGCTGTAGCACCCTTCCGGTGCCTAGCTGCCATGCCACCCGAAGGAAGCACGAGGGCTGGGATACTGCCAGGTTGCCCAAGCCTAGACAGGGGAAGTCGAGTGGCGGAGGTCGGATTCGAACCACGAACCTTCCGGTCAGTAAATTCGCGCTCTAACCACTTGGGCCATCTCGTGTCTTTTGGCCAAATTGTGGTAATCCGTGGAGGCAATATCTTGGCACTTTCTGATTTACTGGTCGTTCAGTTATGCATAGTTATCACGGAAATTACTTAATCACACCTGGTTAGACAAGCAAGCGTGTCACTCGTGACCACTGTTAAGTGAACCATATCTCATGCATGTGACTCATTCCACATGCTGAGTAATGGCTGACGCGGACAGGCTGCGTTGACTGCTCACTTCCTGGTTGACTCATCATTACACTGGCTAAAAGCCTGAGGAGGTGAATACACCTCTTAGGGTTCGATTTAACTCAGCCTACTGTGGTTTCCGGCTTTCGTTTTGCTGCATGTCATCAAGAGGACGTATTAGGCTCGTAGTGTGACCGGTGGGAACAGTCCATTTGTCTCAAACTGTTCCATTTTCATCACACTTCGAAGACCGCAATTATCACACCATTTGGTTTGTATTCCTAAAATTTATTCCGACCGTAGTTGTACCGTCCGATGAACGTTTGTTGATTCCTTAACACCTACCGACACTTCATGACTCTCATTCCACATTTCAGATACTGTTTGGACTATAAACTTCACCTGTATTTTCCTTAACTTTTACGTCGGATCTGCTCAAAGACCTGTGCTACAATCTTGAATATACGTTCGTATTGAATCATTGCTATGTATTAATCATCGACACTTCTATTCAATTAATAACCGTTGTTTATTTGTTGTTATAACAGAACCATACCGAATACAACGACAGTCTTCTAGACTTAACAAAGGACTTCGGATGCGTATACTGAGATAGTATCTCAGTCGCATATCTTGCATCAATCACCTAGTTTCGAAGTGGAACCTGAAGTTATTCAAGATGCCGCAATCTGACGATGGATTACGTCCTCTAGTATTGTCACTTAACGCTTCTCCTACAGAGCATGACGCAGTACATTCATCGGATAATCGCCATCTAGAGCTGGGGCTCGCACGTCTGCGTATCAGGGAGTTGGAAATTCAACTTGAACTGCAGGAACTTTCGGAAGTGAAAGCCAAAAGGAGCAATCAGGACAAATGCGATTCGCACACTCAACTTCAATCAGATCCAGCTGATTCGAAGTCCATAGCCTTTGCCCTGGAAAGGCGAATGGAATTACCGAAGCGCGAATTGCAACGCTTTAATGGGAACCCGAAGGACTATTGAGCCTTCATGAAAGCGTTCAGCAGTACTATTGAAGACCGTACTCGAGATGATGAGGCTCGCCTGGGTTATTTAATACAATAGTGTGACGGCGAATCAAAAAAGAACTGAGTATTGTACGGTCCTACGACCCAACGAAGTTTACGGGCTCGCGAAGGAAATTTTAAGAAAACGATTTGTCCAGAATTATATGGTGGCCCTAGCTTTTATCGACGATTTAATCACTGGGCCTACTATTAAAGATGGTGATTCGTCCGCCCTCTCCGATTTGGCAGAACAGCTAACCGTGTGTGAGGTAACATTAAGAGAAATGGATTATTCATCCGATCTTAATACCCAACATACGATTCAGACCATTGTACGAAGATTACCTTCTTGACTTCGTTTCAAATGGGTCAAAGCTGTCGCTAACATCAGACGAGAAGATCGTGAGCCAGAAGTTACTGACCTTACTGTCTTTATTGAAGCACGTGTTGATAGCCTGTGTTCGGATTACGGCGAACTTGCTCTCAGTCTAGCGTCCGAGGAACGAACGAGAAAAAGGCCACCACTATCCGGTCAAATGCACGGTAGAAATATTCATTCTACTCAAACGTTAGCTCCTCGTACCGGTATCGATCCTCGCTGTAGTGTCTGTGGTGAAGCCTGTTATCCTGATCACTGTGCGCAATTCATTGCAGAGTCATCAAACAAACGTCGTGAAATCGTAATGCGCCGTAAACTGTGCAATTTGTGCCGCGAAATTCTGCAAGTCGCGAACAATCTCCTGTTTCAACGGATGCAAAGGTCGTCACCACCATTTGTTACATTTAAATGTTCAGAATGATGAAGAACCAAGCGTATCATCACACCACAGTTCTCTACATCGCTCCGATCAAGCGTTTCCGCGTATTTTCTCGCGCGGTGTAGCTCTTGCGATCGTTCCAGTTATCATCAGAAATGGAGCTCGAACCAGCAGTACATGCGCCTTTCTTGACAATGACTCACATTCCTCATTTATCTTTCAAGCCCTTGCGACAAGACTAAATTTGCGTGGTCAGCATACCAAACTCACCTTTAAAACATTGACTGACGATAAAACTCTTCAGCCAACAGAAGTGAGGGCTGATATAGATTGTCCGGGTTCAAATGAACCAATCTCTGTTCAACGACCATGGGTGGTGAAGAACCTTCCTAAATTTAACCGAATTGTTCCGAACCACCACCAGCTAGCAAGATGGACACATTTAAAGGATGTCCCATTCGATAAATACAACACCAAGAACGGTATTTTACTAGGATCCGATGTACCTAGGGCTCATTGGATAGAGGAACAACGGAAAGGCACCCCAGACGAACCACTCGCTATCAAAACGCCACTTGGTTGGACATTGATGGGTCCATTGTATAAATGTGGTATACAACATTTCTTTGTAAATCACACGATAATATGTGATTTTGAGAAAAACCTAGAGCGTTTTTACCAGCAATATATGCTGGATCCTGGACCTCCAAAAGACAAGGAAATGTCCGTTTTAGACCGAAGGGCTCTCACTATAATGCAAAACACCGTGATATTCAAAGACGGTCATTATGAAATAGCATTATCATGGTTGACTGATCCTTACTCGTTACCTGATAACAAGTTGGCCGTATCCCGTCGACTAAGCCAGCTGCTTTTGCAGTGCGACGAGTTGCGTGAACGCTATTGTGAAGTCATGAGCGAATATTTGAAACAGTCTCACGCGGAACGGGCGCAAGAATCACCTTTGGGTTTGAAATGGTATCTCCCACACCATCCCGTTTTCCACCCAATGAAAACAGGAAAGCTTCCTATAGTTTTTGACTGTGCCGCAGCTTTCAATGGCTTCTCTCTGAATGAAAGTTTGAAATCAGGTCCCGCTTTAAACAATTCGCTAATCGGCGTCCTTCTTAGGTTTCGGCGCGAAGGTATCGCAGCGATGGCCGACATACAAGCTATGCCCCACCAGGTACGGGTTTCAGAAGAAGATCGTAATGCTTTGCGTTTCTTGTGGTAGGATGATGAAAAACTCGAACGGCCTCCGCTGTGTGTGTTCATCTGCTTGATGCCAAATCCTCCCCAAGTTGCGCTGCATTCGCGTTGAATCATGCGATTCTCGACAAAGGAAAATCTTACGACGTTAACGTTGTGAAAGAAGCCAAACAATTTTTCTATGTAGACGATTGCTTATTCGGCACCCGAACTATTGATGAAGCCCGTACTTACGCAGGTCAGTTGAAATCGATGCTGGCAGATGGTGGATTCGAAGTTTCGAAATGGGTATTGAAATTATTACCAGAATCTGACTGCGCGGTGGACTGTGTCCAGCTTTCATTAAACGAACCATCACTTCATCGTACTCTTGGTGTGAACTGGAACCTAAAGGAAGACTCTTATCGATTTCACGTTCAGAAGGAATATATTGTCTTACGTTTCCTCCTTTTTCGACCCTCTGGGTTATTTGTCTCCTGTCATTCTAACTGCTAAACTTCTACTCCAGCGGTTGTGCAAATTGAAGTTTGAATGGAATCAAAACACAGAGGGCGTCGAGCTGGATTTATGGTCGAAATGGTCACGTTCAATACAGCATCAATCACCTAGGTTTAAAGTGAAACCTATATTAGTTACAGTATGAGTCCAGCGGTTAGGCTAAAGCAAGCAAAGGGGGGCTGGGCCGTGTTATCCACGCTGAATTATCGCCTGCTGAGAAGTGTTGTTTTCCGTGCCCCATTGGGAGTGCCAGAGACCTAGAGGTTGTCAGAATTTGACATGGCAGGAGTGAAATGTTGTTACATTCGGATGCTGTTCGTCATAAAGGGACCTACGCGACCCTCCGTGTGCTTGACTCGACTACCTGAACGATAGTATAGCTAACCGATGTCAGTGGCAGTCATGCTGTGAGTTTCTATTCAGGTAATCTGAGAGTGTTGGAGGTGTAGCCACCTTGGGTCTTTGTGGTAGGCTACCCCTAGGTTGCCTCCCTACCCAGTTTTCTTCCTTTCTATTAAGATGACTAGTGGCGTTGAAGCAGCAAGGTTCTCATTTATTGTTTGTGTTAATGATGTGATCGAAATGGACGACGAAATTTGGACGATTTAACGGTATCAACCAAAAAGCCTATGGTTCTTTTCCCAGCTTCTTCGTAAATATGGCGAATGTAATGGACAAACTGACTGTCTGCTGTGGATATGTAATACAATATTCATTTCGTACAGCTGCTTCTTTATTCACAAAGTCAGATCTCCAACACTTCATTTAAGCAGGTCAATATAAGTGCCGAAAATGAGTTAACTCCAACCTTGCTAAATATGGTTTGAAGGGCATCTCTCGCCTGACGCCGAATGCATGCGTTCAAAATTGTTTGGCACAGACGAACAATCGGTTAAATATGAGCCGAATGTGACCATGTAAGTTTATTTCTGCTGATGGAAATCTGATTTTTCGCAGGGCAACTTTAGAAGGCAACTCAGTTCCTAAAAAAACGTTATACGCCCTGATGTAACTACTTCGAGCGCATGAACCCGGATCACCAGCGGAAATCGGACGAATTCTACGGATCAGATGCGAGTTCTGATAGTCTGAACTTTTCATTTATTATTTGTTGGATCAAATAATAGGCTGTTCAGAATTCAGCTCCCGGGATAAGTCGTAACCTATACATTTTGAACAACTGATAAGCCTTTGCGTTTCAAATCACATCAAAATCGGGATAAAGCCAGTTTCTAGCACAGGGAACATAGCCGTTTCATTTCATAGGCTCCCACAACTGGGATTCCCAAACTAAAAGAGAACAAATCCGGCCCTAGAGTCTGTGGTAATGATTGATTGTACTAGTCATCTAGGTTTATCTGAGAACCTACAACATTCCATCTGCACATCCGTTTACATTTATCTCAGCACCGACCGTGAAAAGTTCGCTCACTACAGTACGAGTAATCAGTTAAAAAACTAACTGATGGTAGTGAAATACAGAAGAAGAATCTAAGTGTAATTCACGAGCATAGTTGTGACCGGCCAATCTACAACTGACAGGACCCCTCAGCCTGCAATTCTCAATACAAACACAAGATTACCATACACACGCGTCCCTTTTCACAGGTGCTGTTTGAGTGGCTGTAGGCTGGCTTGCCAAAACACAGTAACAAAGTGGACGTAATCAAAGTATCACCCGGATTTTAGTCGCTTAGAATGAGACCTGACACACTGACCCTCGCTCGTTTTATCAGTATCATGAAGCATAACTCGATTAACACGAATTATCCACGCAAAACAGCTGTGACAACAGCACTGGGTCGCAGACCTACATAATGTTCTCCATTATTGTTCACAGAAAGCTTCATTCCGTCCACTAAGGACATTCATGTAAAGTTCGTGGTCGTACATTTCAGATCACTATCACGATATGTACAGATTCACACTATCACACAAAGGTACATTCTCTTATAGTGCTGTGACGACAAAAGCCAAAGTGGAGGACTTAAATATTTTGAAACGGCTTTGTCGGAGTTAATGTAACATTCTGATCCTATAGCTCACCATCTAACACCCGTACAGAAACCATCGGAAATTCTTAGATAGATGGATCGAGGAAATGCGAAATATTGGATGAAAAATCTATGTACAGGCATCAATAACATATCATCAATGTTTGTGCTTTCGTTTCATGTGATCTGCGTTGCCGTCCAAAGAAATGTCTCCTCCACGCTTGCGCACATTTAATGGGTTCCGCGGATCGTACAAGTCATAGCGGTCCGGATGTGGCATTGTTGGATCAAGGACTTGTTTCGCTGGCACGGGTTCTTCCGAAACAAGGCGACTGGCCATCCTGGAAGAAAGGAGATGAGAACGTGTATTGGTTATTTAACTCCTGTGGTCTCCCAACGGCCACTCCCAGTCACGGCCTGCTATCAACTTGTCATATCCCCTGGCTAGGAGCTGTCAAAATAGGAGCAGATACAAGCCATCATTTTCTGTAAGGGAGTGCTTATACCTTTGGTATGCGGGAAAATTTACCACTATTCGGGTTGTATCGGTTTCGATCAAAGCCTAAAGAACGAAACACCAATAACCAAAACGACTAGTTGAATTTTTACCGTCCTCCACAATCCAGCTGTAAGCACCGTTCGAGGATATGGAAAATCCGCAGGGATTTCTTTCGACTTACAGTGTAATGAGGATCCTTACGCGCAATATCATGCAGAAAACACTTTCGTCCCATTGGCTTCAAGCTGGCGTATAAATTTTTACTGCAGAAAGACAAGGAAACAAGCATATATGCTGCAATCTGCGCTCTGCATGAGGAACTGCCAGGCTGATGCGATCAACGCAACGCCAGTTACATAGTGAACGAGATGCATTGGAAAATGCTGTGCACAATAAGATAGAAAGAGCAGGCTTATTTTCTGCCGTCCAAAAGCTGCGGAAACGGAAGCTCTTACATCGTATGAATACGTCGAAAAATTCACCTAACAAACTCACCAACTATCCATAATCGCCACCTTTTTCTGCTTCTCATCGTCTGGCAAGGACTGACTATCTGCGTGGACAACCGAATGAAGTCGAGAAGTAAACCTTTCCAACAGTGCCATTGTGGATGCTTCACGATCCGCGCCCTGGTATGAAGATGGCAAAACTCAAAGTTAGCCCGGACAAATCATGCCAAGTGGCAGTAAGTGAATGCACAGAACATGAAAAGCCCTTCCTTTAAACATAGCAGCGGTAGGAGACACCATTTACAAAACGACCAGCTATATATGCTGAGTTAGTTCAGGGAACCGACCAATGTAAGTGAAATCGAAGTTCCACGCCGTGATCAACGCGTATGGAGGTTAGCTTTCAACAGACCTGAGACATTTCGTGTCTCAGACTACTTGCCGGAAATAAGGGTGGATACCCTTCTCTGGGCTTGGGCTATCGTACGCCTGAGTAGTCCACATAAACTTTTCACTAAACTTATCACGACTCGTGATGCACACCAAAGCAGACCAGCCTATGCTTCAGTCACCCGTTACGACCAAAGGTGTTGAAAACTTTTTCATTACACCAAGTAACTGTACATTTTTCAAATGGCAGCAGCAAAGGAAACCAATAAGACGGAAAGCCATACGTGGCTACCGACATGATCATATGTGATAGCTGTGCTCATTGACACCCTGAGCAGCAATACGAACTGAGGTCGGATACATCGAAAACTTGTCGAACTGAGTCAACGAGACTTCCGTCCAGAACATCCTCTTTTGAGGTGTTCAGTTCCGAGGTTGTCTTACATGATAACAAACCCGCCCAACTGTCATCTTTCTTTCATCCCGATTCTCTCCAATACAATGTTTTTTTTGTGTTTAGAATGTTCTTGCCTTTCTCTGCGGAAAAAGTCACATTAATTTGTGATTCACATACATACCCCAAACTCGATTTTAATCCGTTGGAACCAATGTTCCAACGGCACGGAAACGCAGTTGGCTATGCTGCAGGGTGGGATGACACCAAGCTCATTAACTCAGTTCGGTAAAGGGAGCCAGCCAGGATTACCACATATCCGGGCTCAAGTCGTATCGGAGCTCAAGGGATGAGAATGCGACTGCTTCGCTCGATAACGTCTATCGCTCAGTTTCACTTTACACTGATTTGGTGTGTGTATTGAAATTTGATCTTCGTTCAAAAAACATCTAGGCGACACGACCACAAAAAGGACGGTAATTCGAGTTAAATGGCTGGTTGGAACACACGTTGGACCCGTCTTAGTGCCATCTACTTGTTTTCGTCCATTTATTTCTATTTATTGTCCGGTACGATAAGATGGCAGCCGACTCAGTGGAAATATTACAACCAGGCTCGAATCCCCGAACGAACTTTTATTTCACCATTGTGTGCAGGCCAGTCGTTGTCTGAATTGATAACTGCACACCGACCCCCACATAGTCCTATTGCTGAGAGTAATTTCCATACTGTCGAACCAATCGGGTCCGAACGAGCGCGGCCCACAACTCAATTGGGTGCTCGGAATTTCAAGCACCTACAGTTTTTCATGTCCATACAAAAATTGTGACGGTAAGGAAACGAAGTTCGGAAAGTAACCACTGAATTGAGTAGTGTCAGCTAGTGTTCCACGAAGCAGTCATAGTCTGTCCAGCAGATTAGCCGAAAACAAAATCGGCTGACCCGATAAGAAGGTGCTGGTAGGGGTGATCGATAGATTAGAGCTCCTTAGCTAGCACAAACCGCATTTGGAGAACACTATCCTCGAGTTCATGACGACGAAAATCAGATAGGGAGTTCTATAGTTCGAATAAATCGGTTGAATTTCAGTCGCACTTAAGCCAGTCAATATACAAGGCTTGGGATTTCATGGGTATCATGAAACGAATGCACACAAACGACGTCCAGGTTTGACGATGTGGTTGGTATGCTTCTGGAGTGGATGAGACGAACAGCGACAGTTGTCTATGAATGTCTTCATTCCATACTCTTTTTGACCAATATTTTAACCATCGGAGCCCTTGGTTCAAGTGATTCAAAACAAGAAGCATGAGGGTCGCCAGATGGGAAGAAGAAAAATACAAAAGGGTCAACGGCGCATTAGCATTCGATTGACTACTCCCGAGATTACCCATATGCAGTATGGGGCTCTGACGGTAGAGACCCCAGACCAGCATCTGTTCGGTTCTCGCGTATCCATGTAGACCGCGTTACTTCCCTCGGAAGAGCCGATTTTTCTGCAACCACCGGCATCCGTTTGCTTCCTTCAGCTAGGCTCGCTACAATAGCTCTAGACCTACTGGCAGTTTGCGTCCCCCACATATCCAAGAAGAACGTTGCAAAGGTTATATGAGCGAGTGAGTAGATCAGTGGGATTAAGCTGAATGCCGATCGGCGTGTGACAACCGACAAGTGCTCAAGTGGAGATGGTTGGTATTCCAGGGAAGCGCAACAACCTCGGAGCTTATATCACGAAGTGAAAGTGGGGCTTTATTGCTGCCAATGCCGACAGCGGACAAATGTCTGTTCTACTGGAAAGTCAAGACGATGTAGCGCGTGATGGGATACCTTGTAATACACTTGCACACAAGGGAAGTCTTTCCCGAAGGAATTTTCCGGTCATTGGAAATAACAGACACCCACAGTCTGTTAATGCGCAGCAGAATATAAAGTCCCGATTCCACCTAGAGCTTAAACCACCGTTATTGCTCTCTGGTGCTTGGTATTTCCTGATATATAACAGCGCTCCAAATAACTATATTCAATTAGCCATCTGCAACTCATAACGTACTGGTGAGAGAACTGAAGGGATCAGTATGCAGTTCAGGGGGACCGGAGTGCCATTGCACACGGCCGGTAGATCTGGTGCCATGAAGATCAGCGAGCTAAGGAGCGAAATCAGATGAGGCTCTCGCTTCCCGATAATCTTCAAGTTTAATGGAGAGCTTCTTTTTGGAAAGAGGAAAACTATATTCATTAGTCGGGCAATGAGGTCTTGAAATAGAATGTAATGTAATTTGCAACGTTCATTCCTTGAATCAAGATTACGCATACAGCTGACAGGTAGTGATAAATGCTGGCTTCAGCCAATAGAGAACGAGTTTCGATTGAACACCTTTGAGGTGGACGAGCATCTGGCAGTCGTTCGACACGCCATTCAAGCTAATCACATGATTCAGAATGCAAATGTGTTCGCCTACTCAGATGGTTGTTCAAATGCGTCCAACGTGTGCTGGTGGAGTAGTGGTAACATGTTTGCTTTGCACATCATAGTTCCGAAGTCAAAATACCGCCAACGAGGTGAGTGGAATCCGAATTCCGTGCTTCTCCTTCCATGAGGTGAACTAACCAGAATGGTTGCGCCAGGACAAGGTGACTGATGACGGATGACTGGTCACACAAATATGGACGCTAAATCACATAAGGGTAGCTCAACGCAAAGACATACCTTCTTAGCTTTCTTCGCTTTGGCTTTGTAGCCAGCAAAGTCCGCAGAAAACGTTTCGGGATCAATAACGACCTCTTTCGTTAGCGAATTTTCTTCACCAAGCAATTCTTTCTCCTCCCATCGGGCCAAGGCTTCTGCTTCTGCTTCTTCCTGTTCTTGGGCTTCCCGTTTGCGACGTTCAGCATCAGCGACTTCCTTGTTCTTCAATTCCATTTCAAGACGCTTGGATTGGAGAATCGCACGACGCAGCTCCTCAGCTTCCTGCTGCAGAGCCAGGCTAAGAATGGAGACAAAAAATGAGTGGTTATTCAAAAATCCAGATGGTACAGAGGTGAAGCAAAAAATACCACAGAATCGGAGTGAAACAGCACTTGCTTTTTCATATTCATTTATCAGACGCGGATTTCGACGGCAGGGTACTCAATTTGATCATGTCATTGTAATCCAGGCAGAAAGCCAGAAATTAAATGTCCGTAGCGTGAAACTTGGAGTTAGCAAACCCTTAAAGAGATTAGTTCCGTTCCACTTCTTCGAGACTTGAACACGACATCAAGGCATCACGGATGAAGTTTTAGTTAACAATTAAGCACAAAAACGGGTTTGGAGGCAGAAAACGATCACTGAAATATGAAACTTAAGAACACTCTTGGGAAAACAACTTCAACCTTAAGAAACTGGCTAACTTACATTCGCCTTTGCTTCTCTTCCTCAGTCTCGAGGCTTTCTGCCATCGCCAACTGTCGCCGCCGCCGCCGTTCCTGTGCCTCTTTATCGGCTTCGGCTGTGGCCTGACTGACAAGTTCCGTGTCTTTGTCGGTGATTGTGACTGGTTGGGAACTGAGACGAGGATCAGAAAGGAGGTCATGAGCACTCTTCCCTTTCTTGCGCAATTTCTAGAGGTGTAGAAACACAAAACCCGAGACTGCTTGATGGCCGATGGGAACTGAAGTACAGAAACGAATCTGATGAAAGATACTATCACGGGTCAGCAAAGCGTTCTCCGGATCTGATACACAATCGCTATGCGTCGTCCCGAAGGACTAGTAATCTGGATTGGCTTACGACCTAAGAAATACAGAGAAAAAGCAACTTGAACACCTTTGTCAGATAACAATGGGTCTGTGTAAAGGGCGACTTCCCATTAATGTTGAAAACTGTGGGAGGATTGGGTGCTTTCTGTATATGACTACTTAAGGATACAGGCCGCAAAACCAGCAGTTTGAAACGAATCGCACATTCGGAACCCCCAATTTACAACACTAAACGTATGCTATCTGGGCTATCTCTCAGAAAGCAAAAAACGACTCAAAGGATAGTAACTAAAAACAGATGTACAGCCGACTAACAGAGCGTATCTAGGGCTTAAAAATCAATGAGGCAAATAAGCGAGTGCAAGTATAGAACAGCTCCGCCTCGAAAAAGGCCGATGACTTACCTCAGAAACAACAGACGTTACATGTTCCTCCTCTTCAGCCTCTTCTCCAAATGAAAGCAAAGAAAAATTTCTTCGGGAACGGAAGAAAACAGAATACATAATTAGTTCAGTGTGTACATATTAACTTGACAGGAGCTAATCGTGACAGACAGTGAGGTGGGTTTTAAGCTACAAGAAAGACACCATAGAGAAACCAACAGCGACTGCCATAGTCTCCGTATCACCTTTTAATAGCTGGCGCATCGAACAAGGTATTGGCATGATACGTAGTACCGAAACAGGGACGACATACTGTGACAGCCGCACTTAAAATGGTACTAATTAGACAGTCCGAAATTAAACCGTTCGAGTCGCCAAGCTATGTGGTAAAAGTATCGTAAACGCGGGGCTCATGTAGATTTTGTTCCTCGAGGAACGTTCGAACGGTCAGGTGCAAGTATAAGAAGAATCCAACTATTAGGTTGCGTATTAGTGATTGGCTGCCTTCTTTTAGACTGCTCACTGAGGATCCAGAAATTCAGAAAAGGAGGTGGCATAATGCTCTCACTTGTTCACTATTTAGGAGGACCTTATTAGCCACTGATACAAGTGCGACCGCGAAATATTGTTGCTGCTGTAGAAAATATTTGTAACAGAAAGAACAGTGAGAGATTGAAAGACCTAGCGTTGAAATAACCTAAACATTTTGATGTGCGTACACATACACGATGCACTCGGTCGGATAATCTGAATAATTACCAACACCAAGTTACTAGATAACATGGGTTAACAACCACTTACTGCCGGTTCTCTAACCAAACCCTGGGATGGAAGTCAGTCACTGGTCGCCGTCACTGATCTTCAAGTGATAATCTACTAATATCCTGTCTTGTTTCACTATTCACGAAACAAAACACAATAAATGTATCGGTCTACTATGAGCTCGCGTGCGTAGCCATTTAGGTACGGTTTTAAATGAACCAACTGTTACATGGCCGAAAGCCTGTCTTCTAGTCGCTTCAGACGAATTCAGTGAAGCCAACCTACGCCAGCTGACCTTTCTGAGATGTCGGCTAAGAGAGGTCGCAAGATGAGAGTGGAGCATTCAATACCAGAAGCAGGAACAAACGATATTAAAAATACGTGTCCAAATATTGACACATTCGTGTGAGTAGAGGATTGGCCCATGGCGAGTCGGCATTCAATCCCTGACTTTCCTGTGATATCGAAGCACGCCGATGAACCCCGGCACACAACAGACAATGCAACATGCAACCTGCGCTCAGCCATGTGTGCAACCACTTGAACATCCCGCACGGCGCATAGAATCGAAGGACCAGAGGATGGGCAGGAGAAGCCTGTTCTAAAGTCATCACCATACCCAACTTCTGGGCCATAATGGTCAACACTATCACCGCAAATTTCGCCCATATGAATAAGAGGAAAATTAGCTGGAAAATAATGTAAATGCGTCTACACAACCGACATCTGCATAGGCACGCAGCTAGCACCTAGCTTCTCCTTGGATGTTCACAGGTAATGTGAACGTCATGAGCGGGTGAACGTCTGGGAGCGACAATGCCAAAAACGATGTTGTATATGACAGAACATGAAGACAGGTGAGAATTGAGCATCTATATAAATATACCACAATCATATAACTTTCCAAACCCAATTTTGATGGCACCACCAAGACGATTAAACTTAACAAAAGAGAAAAACACTTCGAAGAGTACTAACAACCGGGAACTTGTCTACAGACGGAAATAGTAAGTTTAATGAAGAACTGTGATACAGTACGCGCTGTTCCTGAAGGAAAACAAAGTGGAATGATCATGGGCGAGGCCGCGTTGAGAAAACAGGCTACTACGAATAAAGGGTCATTGGAAAACTTGAAGTAAAAGGTCTCACAGTATCTGAGTGCAGCTGGACAGTAAACCAGATAGGAGTACCTAAGCTAGACAATAGCAGAACGAAGGGTCTAGTTCACAAGCCCATACACACAAACAGAATCAAAAAAGGTGGGTCAAGCAGCTCTCACTTTGTTGCTTTAGCTGTGACTTGCGCTGCGTCGCTTTCGAGTTCCTTTGGTTTAGTACGTGGTGGAAGTTGCCTCGGAACAATGTCGTCATACGGATTGAGAACAACCTAGGATAGGGACAAGAAGACTCAATTTTCCAAATAAAGGACACATGTACGCAATAGTCCATATGTGTCACCGTACTTGAGCTGGATGTCCACAATAAATTAGGAACACGTGCTTTTTCAAGCAATTAACTACTAACAAGGAAGAGTTTAAGGAAACCAATTCAATTCAGTTCAGTACAGTTAGTCAGCTTTAAACTGAAAAATCCGAAAACAAGGAAAGTATAGCATCGATGGTGATGGGCCAAACAGTTGGTAGACCTTGAATCATTCCGGTTTACTCATGACGACAGCTATACATTGAAGTCGATAGCTTTGATGCCGGAGCGTCAGAGGCTGCGTGTTTTAGTTCAGTGATTTCGCTTCGGTTTGAGCTAACATCAAACAACCGCGTCGGTGAAGTAAAACTATGCAAACGAGGGTAACGCTGACACTGTTTCCGAAAATATCGCAAGTGCTCATAATCGGCAAAAGGACCATAAGACTGTCTGCCGACTCATAGCTGGTTACGGTTTATCACAAACTTCATCCTTCCATGATATCAAAAAAACAAGATGCTGATTTAGATAAACTGACGGAAACGTTTGCTGTGTTCTGAAGTTCACCTCGTGTATCAGATAGCCGTAGTTAACGCCCCGGTACAGCCGGAGATATGCATTGCTGATTAGCTCTACCAAGTGCGGAACGAGAACTCTGTGCTTCGTCCTTTCGGAGTACGTTAACTACAGCGATTACATCAGTGATGACGGACAAGGTCACACAGGGGAGGTGAACCCTGCACGAAGATTTTCTGTTGGGCATCTGAGGTGGAGTCAGGAGTAAGTGCCGATTCCGGCTGCAGAAATTTGCGTGATGCCTGAGTTTGACAATCGGATACCTGATAGATGTGCGCTCTCTAGCCAGTGGTTGTGAAGACAGTCAGCGATTATTCGCTGACTACAATCACACTACAGAATGCAGGAATTTCAGCGGCCAGTTTGAAGTGAGTCCTTTGTGCTGAGATCACCAGCTCGCTAGGCCACCCTGGTCACACAAGGTAAATAGCTCCCTGGATGCGCTGCAGTATCGAGTTGACTGATGTGGACATTCCAACGCCGCCCAGTATCACTTAGGTTTCGTTAGAGGGTATGTCCTCAGTATTTGCACAGTGAAGCGCGACTTGCGAGGTGGCAGGAAAGGTGTCTACAACGATGGAATGAGGCTCGTACGGCCTTTGGATGCCGAAGCTAAGCTTACTGGCCCACTCTGCCGGAATCAATCTGTATTATTGCAATTTTGGTATGGGATCAGGACTACCAGTCAGACTGATACAGTCTCTTCAAAGGAGGCCATAAGTACAAAATACACTTGTACCCCCACAAGGCGGAAACGTCCGGAGAATCAAGGATTACTCGCTTCGAGGTGGGATTCGCCCTTCCGGGGGGAACCCCCAGTTAACCGTTCCGCAAAGGCACTTAGAGTAAAGCACTTATTTAGGGGGAGACTCGAAAAGCTGTTCGTTCGCCTCTTCTATCAGAGAGTTCAACCTTTTTGAAATTTTTTCTTGTTCACAAGAACACTGAATCACTCAATAGAGTATCCCGTTCGCTAACATACTTTGCATTATTTTCACACCTTTTCTAGAGCTCCACTGAAATCAGAGCTGCCAACTAGCAAGAGACGTTTGGTGGTCATGAAAAACCTACTGCTGGCTACGCATTCTTAAAATCTTAGGCCCATCAAACATGGTTCTAAGTCAGCAGCATCAAATTTGGTATTCACTCAGATAATGTTTGGAGTGCCGAGCTTCGTGAGTATCTCGAGGCGACTCATGAGGAAACACCTGTTGAGTGTCTCGCTAGATGGCTGTTCCACATGCTCATGATCCGCACGATCGGTAGCTACTACACTTGCATGGTGGTCGGGCTTGAGCGTTGCAGTGATCCGATGGGTTATACTGGATGGTATCTCGACCCTAAAGGTTCAAACACGAAGGAAATTCTTAAGGGTATCAGTCCTGTAATACGAGAAATCATGTTACGAAAAAGGCTGTCAGTGAAATCGTATTGCACTCTACCACACGAGTTTGGAAGTGTATCCTCCATGCAACTAACGCTCGCACATTTCTGGTAACGGCGACAGACCCATCCGAAGGGCGGGTTAGAAAAGATAGGTCTATAAAAACGCGTACTCGGATTGGTCAACAGCGGCACCAGACGCAGTGAAGCATCGGTGTTGAACACTGATGTCATGTTGTTGATGATGATGATGATGATGATGATGATGATGATGATGGTGATGATGATGATGATGATGATGATGATGATGATGATGATGACACCGGACGCATTATCCGACAGTCGGGAAAATGAATTTTACCACGAACCAGACGTGGCTCCAATGAAGCAGCATCAGAAGAAAGACATCCGCACCTTCTCTCTACTCATGAAAATAGAGTATAAAAAGAAAGTCACATTCTTTTTTTTCTTCACAAGAACAAATGATATGGAGTGGCATCATTATACGTAGGTCAGCTTTCGGTGAGTTGATTTAACCTTCCCTAGCTCAATGAGTGTAATAAAGATGCATGGACCAGCAATTCATGCTCTGTCGGAAACCATGCCATTAGCAGCCACCCTGACGTTTCATGGTGCGCAGCATGTTAGTGGCATCCCCACCGACGACTCTGTATGAGGTCACAACTGACCGCTACTTATACCATGACATCCGAAACGCCATCATTCAGTTCTATATCCCCTAAACCAGATGTGAGCAGTGTAATAAGTATTCATCACCATCACTGACAACAACATCAGAGAAGAATATTAGTATGCCACCGCGGTATGACAAGGTTAATGTGTTTGAATACAGTCTAAAGTGGAAATAAAAATGGGACATAGAGGGTGTCCTGGGATCAGCCTATTATACATATCTGATGTACTTACACCGCCAACACTCAGTTAACCGATCTGGATAGAAAGTAACGGCATGGACGTTACTGACATCGGCTATCGGCCATACCACCCAATATCTCTAGCCAAGCAATGGAAGAAATTCATGTGGATCCCATCCTAGAGGGCGAACAGCACAAAAGGCACCCAAACTTTTCGTGACATCCTTTATTCTACCAACTCAGTTAACCGATCTGGATAGAAAGTAACGGCATGGACGTTACTGACATCGGCTATCGGCCATACCACCCAATATCTCTAGCCAAGCAATGGAAGAAATTCATGTGGATCCCATCCTAGAGGGCGAACAGCACAAAAGGCACCCAAACTTTTCGTGACATCCTTCATTCTATTCTACCAGATTATAGTCTGTTCACTTCTAGGTTTCAACCGCCATTAATTAGCCACAGAAAATAGCGATCGTTTGGGCAGGCAGTAACTCCGCATGCGTCATATCAAGCCATTCATTTTATTTTGCCGAACATGCTGTTAGGAGTAAGTCTAACCTCCCCTAGCGTGGTGGATCTGTTACTAACAGCTAGACTAGTGGCATATGGGGACTTTACACAAGGGCGCTCATCGTTTAAACTCAAACAAAAAGCTGTGTTAATAACGCCTAGAGTAACGGGTTGTAGGGATTTCAAAACAAAAGGCTTTCAGACCAAAGTCAAGGTGCCAGCTATGACGGCCATTCCTATGAGCATTATCAGTTAAAAGCAGGCTCCGAAGAAAGATCGTTCACCGCGGGAGGTGTTCGTTCCCAGAGGTACCAGGAGTCATTTTTCTGACAGTCATTTTTCTAATAAAATATGACAGTAGTCGTTCAATTGCGACACCGTTTCGGTGCATAGATTCCGTGCAACTCGAAGGAAGCATTAGGACCGAGGTACTGCCAGACTGCCCAGGCTAGGCAGCCGTTTCGGTGCATAGATTCCGTGCAACTCGAAGGAAGCATTAGGACCGAGGTACTGCCAGACTGCCCAAGGCTAGGCAGGAGCAATCGAGTAGACAAGGTGGGGTTCGAATCACAGGCCTTTGCGCACCAACTCCTGACTTATCTCGAACTCTTTTTTGCGGATACGGAAATTCATTATCTATGAGGAGAAATTCACTCTTATGAGACTGCTGTATTGAAATAGGATGACCAATAAGATCAAAACGAGCGTTTCCGGTAAAATATGAAGGAAATAACAAATACTTACTGTGGTATTTACAATGCGATGTAATCGATAAGGTCTCTCATCTGGGCCAACATCTCCCTCTCCAAGGCGAAGCATGTTGAAAAGTGTGTCACCTGCTACCTTGCCAAACAATGTATGTTTACCGGTCAACTCCGTAGCTGGGCCTAGAGTGAAGAAGAATTGACTGGCGTTCATGTTCTCAGCCAGACAGGCCATTCCCACAAGTCCCCGACGATTGAACGACAGGCGTGAATGTATTTCGGTCTGCATTAATGTGCGGAGACGAAAAGTGTGTACCATAAAATCTGCGACGTAAATAAATCGTATAAGGTAATTCTCTGGTGAGAAACACAACGTTACTTATAAACGAGTGATTCGACTTATGTTCAACTCAGTCTCCCGTTAACACCTAGCCAATTTTCGAACTCCAACAAGTTATTCACTTCAGTGAGGAGTGCTATACTAACACCGATGTCACATGAAAAGCAATTGTTTATGGATGTTTTTCACACTCTATTTAAAACAGCCTGTTTGTGTTGGTCACAACATCACTGGAATCCGTGTCAAACAAGTCCACTATCAATTGCAGTATGGACATACTGACCGAATAGTGTTCACATCGGATAGGGAGCTACGACGCACATGCTTCAGGTCCATTTCAGGTCGAGAGTTACTGAATACTGAATCTCGAATACTCCCGTCCACATCTGAATAGCCTTAGCCTTCGTGAATCCTGTCGGTTGCATAGCTACTGTTGATGAGAAGAGGTACCACACCTAAGGGCTTTGACCTGAGTACAGTTGAATCGTGCTAATTGGAGCGTTCCTAGATCCTTTTGGGATGAGAACGACTGTGCAACAAACCGCAGGAGGACGTAGTCCGCTTCCCAACAAAAGACAAACATCAGTAACCCCTGTATTACCAAAGTCAATGAGGACAAAAGTTTGTCCTTTGGTTGGAAGACTCATCCGACCGTTTCAGCATTTGGCAAGCAGTCAATCGCAGCCCTTGTCCCATCTTTTGGTCCCTAGGTTATTAACAGCCGAATGACTATTTCACTTGAACGTGATCCTAAACCTTCCAGTACACGACAAGTGATTGTCAACGGCGGTATGTAACGGTAACTTGACAGGGCTGACCGACAAGTTCTTACCTGCTGCTCATTTGTTCTACGGTGTGCGCAAAGCCTGCATAGAAGCGTCTTCATTAAGGCAAGCAACATAAGTACTGAAGTATGCTGGTTACTCTCGTTTTAACAGTCAATGATAGGCACATTTTCTTGGTATGCCTTTAAATCCTCAACTAGAAGGAAAGGAAGGTGGAATCCTTTTCTAGATCTGCATGAGCCATCAGATATTCACCTCATGCATCCTTTAAAGAAATGGTTTTTACTTCCGTGATTTCGAAGACTGGGCCTTCGGTCCACGTCCCACCGCTCCAAAACTGATATGTATTGATTCCGTTGTGTGGAAAAACGAATGTACCCACGTCAAAATTATGGTCGTTCAAATACAGCATCCAGACTCTTTCATCTTCCGATTTAGGATTTAACTCTGCAGTGGATCAAAAACAATTTCAACGACCATATCGCTCGTCCTTTTCAAACAGATCATGCTCTGGAACCTCATTAGGCCGGTATATCGAACCCAACTTGCCGTCAACAGTTCTCCAGCCATACCTTGAGAGTATTTTGCCAACCATTTTTGAACCTAAGGTTGTACTTAAAACTGATTACAAAGCACTTCTTATTCCATCGAATGCTAACCTATCCATTTTAGAGGGGGGACATACGATCTGTAGCCTAATTTATGTTGCTCTTTTTCACCCACCTCTTCTGTTAGTATACCGGCCCTGACACCAGCTCTATGACTCATTGTTCATCCAAGCCCATCAATCGGTCTATTTACTATTCTCAATCATAGGCTGCTTGGGATATAAACCATGTCCCCAGCGCCGGCAAATCCACACGGACGAAAATGATTCCCAATATACCGAATAAGCACTCACTAGGGCAAGGCACTCTCCAGTTCGAAAACACCGGTAGGAGAGTACCCGAACCGACCCCAATGAAAGAGTACGACCGAAATTGATAAGGTTGCACAGGATAGCATTGATCACCACCAGATTGTTACAGTTACGACTCGAAGGGTGTAACATGTGAAGCGCCGCACAGGAATTAACCGATAACTGGTGATGAAAACAAAATAAGTCCCCATCTGAACGAGAAAATGCTATATCCTTCGTCATCATCATCACTGGCAGTAACATCAGAGGAGAACGCCGGTGTTTCACTAACGTAAAACTATGCTTGCTTACAGGGGCATAGTATTATCACGGAAAAAAGAAAAAGTAGGACAGAAAGAGGCACCTAAGACGCATCATTCAACACCGGGTGAAACTGAGTGTTCGTGCAAACCGAGAACTTTGGTGGGCTCAAAAGGCCGAAGAAATGTAAGGTGCAAAAAGTGTTGCGAACTGTCATAGGCTGTTCCACTTGATTCGTTCGACTGGTACTCGGAGGCTTCTTGTCAGCAAAACTATCATGGACTAGAACGAATCTCTGATAGTTAGCAAAGCACAGCACGTAGAACAACGATTCAGCCGGCCACCACATATTTCAAATCCGGGATTCTGGCGTTTACAGAAGGGTGGAATGCGAATATGGAACTCTCTCGGTCTCAGAAGTCCCGATCTACCGCCTTCTCTTTTCAAGGATAGCGGTGCATTTTTCAGTCAGTGACTGACTGGCCTACTTGAGTCTACCCGGTAGTAACAAACAGTAACAAAAAGGATACTTCCAGTAAATGGATGCTCGTTCATGCAAAAAAGCGTTCAGTAATAATACCCTTCCAGTGCCTAGCTACGCGAAGGAAGCACGAGGGCCAGGATACTATCAGGTTCCCAAAGGCTAGACAGAAGAAGTCGAGAGGCAGAAGCTGGGTTCAAACCACGGGCCCTCCGGTCAGTAGATTCGCGACCTAACAACTTTAACCATCTCACCGATGTAACAAGACTTCTGGCGTCCCTAGTTCTTCATCGTCTTACGGCAGCAGGCGAATCTTTGACCCGTGGGCATTAAACGGGATTTCAACCGGGTGGATGGTACGTCGATCACATCTTCACACTCAGCCAAGTATCAGAGCAACACCATATGAATAGTATTGGTGTTCTTAGACTTACACGGTGCATCCAATTCCGTCATCCAACCACTGCAGTCCGACAGGGTATGCCCCGGAAGTTTACGGACATACTCCAGTATCTAAATTCACGCACTTCTAGGCATGTGAGAGTGTACGGCTAGCTCTCTAGAAGTTTCCCTATTAAAGTGGTGTCCGACAAGGAGGTCAACTTTCTCCATACTTGTTCAACTTGGATATCGGTTAAATAATGAGGCGAACGCTGGAAGTTCTTCAAAACCCCGGTGCACAAATCACTGCTGTTGAGAACCGTGTCGACCTAAGGTACACGGACAACGTCGTCCTCGTCTTTGGAGACGAAGGCGAAGCACACGCTCTGTTGAATGAAGTGACCACCATCATACCGTCTTTCGACATGTCCCTAGGACCTTCAAAGTGCAAAGCCATGTTTCAGAACGTAGTCTCTGAACATATCCATTACACTTTAAGGAGAATCACAGGAGGAGAATTTTACATACCTCGGTAGTTACATTAGTTCTGATGGGAGTACGTCTGATGAAGTCAGTGCACAAAACTAAAAGACCCGAATCACGTTTGCTAATTTGCGTCACTCGTGGCATCAAAAAGATACATGGCCAGATCGTAAGGGTCGCGTATACCAGCCTACAGTAAGGGCTGTTTTGTTGTACGACTGCAAAACAGAGCCTCTGCGGACAAATAACGTGAGGTGTTTTCAGGCTTTCGACCACTGGTGCCTCGGAAGCGCTGCTGGTTTTGGATGGTGTCAGCGGATCAGTAACGGGGTGATTAAAAACCAGGTATTCGGTTGCGCGGCAGATACTTCAGTCACCGAAAACATCAACTGCGGTAGCTCGGTCATGTGCTACGCCTGCCAAAATACCGTCTATCGAGTGTTGTTCTCCGTGCCTCCTTGAGGAACGGCGCACACCGCAAGGTGGGAAACATATGACTTGGCAGCAGGTCGTGCAATAGATCACGAAAAGTTTTGATGTCGATGCGCAAGATGGAACCCCGTGATCCCCCTCGTGGTGGCTTCAAGACATTGCAAGAAATGGTGGTTGATCGATGTCATTGGCCTTCGTGCTGTTAGTTTCTTTCCCAATTGTCTGATTAAACTTTTGGAGGTGTAGCACTTCAGAATGCTTGCGACAGGCCAGTGCCAGGACCTGTTTCGCCCACTTTTTCACTCCTTTTCACTCTAGAACTTCAAATTTAATTAGACAACGTTTTGGTTGTACGGCAGTGAAACATCAGTTCAGCAATGACGTTGCTGTCTCTGATGATGGTGACAATTATACCCGTGGCTGGGAAAATAAGTGGAGAATAAAACTCAGGAAAGCGTGGGCAAAAATTACCTTGAACGGTTTACCGTAAACACTTTCGCCGCCCTCGCCAGTGCCAGTAGGGTCACCACCTTGAACAATGAATCCACGAACTAGCCGGTGGAAGGCTGTATCGTCATAGTATCGTTCCATACATAACTGCACAAAATTCCGACATGCCTTCGGAGCTTCCTTTGACCATAGCTCAATTTCGATTTCACCTACGGTAGTCTTAAGAATGACTTTACCGTTTGTGGCAGGTTCCGTCACATAGATATTGCTCATTTGTACACTGAAGAGAATAAAAAATAAATAGTAATAGCAAGAACTATAACAATAATAGTAATAACGGTAGCAGTAATGATAAACACGTCGAGAACAAACCACCTCCAACGGTCACTTTGATAACTTAGTACACGGTGCCGGAGAGGGGCCATAAAGCAGCACTATTCTGCTACGTAACTACGTTCTCAAGATGAGGACTTCAGGGAGATCATAGCGAAGAGTAAACGCGAGCAGACGCAAACACCTGTCTATAAGAAATTTTACATATTGAACCATTTTTCCAGCTGAACAAGCTGTGTGACAAACGCGTAGTTCCGGAGTACCAGCCTCAAACTGTTAACGAAAAGTTGTGTGCACTTCCTCTACACCCATTGGATCAGTCCCCTGAGAACGAAAGCGCCTATGCGGTTGAGCTTTTTATAAGCCGATCACATATTTGCTGCAAGTATCCGGCAAAATCCCAAGTACGTGGTCTGCTAAATATCGTCTTTGACGATGCCCGATGACGACTTATAGAAAACTTGTTGGTGACAGTAGTGTCCCCAAAAGGGGCAGCCAACAGGACCCAGTAAGGTTGGTTCACTCTGGAGGAGTGACTTTCTTCGGGAAGGATAGCCTCATCTATGATTTTAAATGGCAACCGAAGGAACTTTCAGCTAAATGACCAACCATTTTGAAAACAAGCTTCTGTATTTTATGCTGTTCTCTAGTTTACCCTGTTTGGAATGTACTTATCGCACAATGGAAAATAACCATATGATGCTAGCATGGACAGAAACGCCCAATTTGCTTACGAAACCTCGCTGACCGAAATTCCAGTTTTTTAAACCGGTCTGGTGTTACTTGTCATCAAGTACATAGCTTCTATCCTACTCGAAGAGAGCACAAGGGTTGAGATAACGCCGGGTCACCCAAGTCTAAACACGTACAATCGAAAAGCAAGGGTTGGGTTTGAACCAAGGACCGTCCAGTCAGTACTTCAGCGCCTAACCGCTGAGGTATCTCGAGGTTGTCACTTGTCACCAGCGTTCTGCCTAGCTGTGAGCAAGCCGACTGATGGTTTTTAGGCGCACCAATTTTGACACATTAGTAAATTATTACGCTCGTCTAGTAGAATGCAGTCCAACAATATGGGATGAATCCAACCTCATAACAATAGCTTGGTGTTGGAAACCGCATAAAAAATTTCGGTTTACCAACTGGGAGCCATTACCAAGGGTACACCAGCTACATCTACCATAGGTTAGACTATGGAATAGATGACGAGTGGCAATCATAAGAAAACAGCCAGTAAGTCGACGCCGAATCAGTCCTGTAGGCGGATGCTTATTGAAGTCCACAGGTTTGATACAACCTGACATCTTGGTCTTCGTGCTTCCTTCAGGTGGCAGGAAGCTAGGCACCGAAAGGGTGTCATAGCTGAAGGATTACATGTCCCAACCATGGAAAATTGTGATGCGAGGCGAGCTCGTAGGAGATCGCAGGAGAGTTCCTTCCTAAAGTAGTCGTGTCAGATATCTCAGCGCTGTTACTCCGATGTTCCCGTCAAACCCGGGAAATGCTTCGGAGGCACCGATGGTCAAACACAGAGAGTTTTCGGAGATATACACGCAACGAAATACGTCTCTGATTCATTAAGCAGGACAGATCGAACTGAAGCAATGTGCACTGTATAATTGGCAGTCAAGTTGTTGTCACATCGGCGCCACAAACATAGGAGGATGGCAACGCTTCCAGACTTCCCACTTTCGGAAGCGGCTACATCCCTCACCGATCCAACTGGACGTATGTAGTTGCGCAGTTTGACGAAACTATCTAATACAGTGATCTGTCCACCTGCAACCATGAAGTTTGGGCTTAATCCCACCCAGATAAGCAGTAATATTTTACACTTTCCAAGTGTAAAGCGCATGCCCAATCGTGCGGCGAAATTATCTGGATTATTTGAAGTGGCTTGCATTCTCAAGGGGTCTGATCCAAGAGTGATATCGTCAGCGTACTCAATGTTTACGGGTGAACGTCCACGGAGTATATCGACCTCCAATTCGTTACGGGAAAGGGCAGAGGGTTGAAGCAACACAGACTAGTCAGTGCTTTCCAGTCACGTTTGAATTTATCGACCCTCCTTGCAGATGTCCATTTTTCTGAAGGTAGATGGCTAATGAGAGCACTAGCCATAAACTGTGGTTTTCTATAGGGGAGAATGTCGGTAGCTCAGGTAGCGTAGATGGTCGTTGGCTTGTTCGCTGAGCTGGGTAATTTGGTTGCAAACGTTTCATCGCCAATCGAGGTGACATCATCAGTGCGTAGTTGTGCGTAGCGGTGGGTTATTGGTTGTGCGTTCAGTAGTGTTACGTGTGTGTTGATGTACGTGCTGGTAGCCGGGGATGACCTTTGACCACGATTAGTTATTCTGTCGGGCGGTTCCATTGGTTGTTCTTTTATCCCGTGTCCTCATTCGCCGATGCGCACGTGACCTCGCCGTCGTAGTCTAGTCGATGTTGGAGTGGCCTTTGTCCTTCCGAGTTCCGGTTGTGACCTTTATTGATTTGACTCCGAGGAGTTCTTTGGTTTTCGTTTGTGAATCCATCATTCGGTCCACCTTGAGTGTTTCGGTTGCGATGTTGATCTCTCGCACGTAGAGGTGCGTAAATTGGATCCAGTTCGATGCACCGGTTGATTGGATCTGCCGTAGAGTACCATGCTTCCAGAAATTCTCTTCCGTGTGGCGTGTCTCCGTATGCCAAAATTTTTTCGCGTTTTCCAGACTGATTTTGTGGCCTTCCTGGTCCTCGTGTATGGACATCAAGGACAGGGGGTCATGCCTCCTGACAGCCGCGTTGTGTTCCTTTATTCGTGTACATAATTTTCTCCCAGTTTGTCCAACGTAGAATTTGTTGCAGTCGTTGCAGCCGATTTGGTATATCACATTGTTCCTCTTGGATTTGTCCCGGTTGTCCTTCGTTCTAGAGGTTAAGTTCCTTAGAGTAGCACTCGGTTTGTGGGTCACGAAGATTCCCTTTTGCGCCAATAATCTGGTTGCGAGTTCTGCTATATTTTCTTGATGTAAGGTAGGACTACCCGTCTGGTGGCTTGTTCTTGCTGTGGCTGTTGTTGAGATGTCTTCTTCTTCGAGCTTCTCTTGATAAAACTCCTTGGATATCCGTTCTTCTGGAACATTCTGTACAGATGGTTTTCCTCCTTCTTCCGTAGTTCTGTGGTGCTGCAGTGTGTCTCCAACCTCCTAAACAAGGTTTAGACGCAGCTCTTTTTGTGGTTTACGGGATGATTGCTGTTGTAGTTCAGTATTTGGTCCGTATGAGTCTCTTTGCGGTATATGCAGATTTCCAGAGTCCCATCCACCTTTCTCTTCACTAAGACGTCCAGGAATGGTAACCGATTGTTTCTTTCTAGTTCGATTGTAAACTTGATACCTTCAAACGTTGTGTTGAGCAGTTCATGCGCGTCGTGTACTGAGTCCCGTTTCATGATGACAAAGGTGTCATCCACGTAGCGGATCCACAGCTTTGGATTGATGATCGGCAGTATTATACGCTCTCGTTTTTGCATTACCGCTTCAGCAATGAATCCTGATATTGGGGATCCCATTGGAGTTCCTTTCAGCTGTTGATATGTTTGTCCATCGAAGGTAAAGTATGTATCCATGCCAAAAGTCCAACAGTTTGCATATACTTTCAGGTTTCATGGCTTCCCCGGCTGCCAGCACGTATATCAACACACACGTAACACTACTGAACGCACAACCAATAACCCACCGCTACGCACAGCTACGCACTGATGATGTCACCTCGATTGGCGATGAAACGTTTGCAACCAAATTGCCCAGCTCAGCGAACAAGTCAACGACCATAAACTGTGGTATTGCAGTAAAGCATCATTTTTTCGGGGGCGAGATGGCCCAAGTGGTTAGAACGCGAATCTACTGACCGGAAGGTCCGTGGTTCGGACCCGACCGCTGCCTCTTGACTAGCCCTGTCTAGGCTTGGACAACCTGGAAGTATCTCAGCCCTCGTGCTTCCTTCGGGTGGCGTGGCAGTTAGGCGCCGGAAAGGTGCTACGGCTGAACAATTTTTTCAACATTTTTTTCTGGAAATGACGACACCTTGTAGGGGCTAAGGGCCCTAGCGAACTGGAAAACAGCACAAACTACGTGTACCAAATTTCTGTCCAGAATGTCCGGCCAAATACAGGTCACACATCTCCACGTACGAATCACGGAGCAAACGACATGCGCGTTTTCATAAAAAAAGACAGTTTTAAAAACTTGAACGCGATTCAGCCATTGCGCCTCACGCAATTTAGTGTGGCCATCAAATTAACCTCGATGGTACACGTATAGTGCAGTCAGGATTCAAGTCACATGTGGAGCGGACTGTATAAACTGTATAAACCGTAGTAATACTACCAGCCTCCCGTCTAGTTGACTTGGAGTTACTGCACACCATAGTTGGCATAGCAGCCAGACGTCAAACAGGGATCTCAACAATGACACATCACAGCCAGTACAACGAACTTAGGCACATCCAAATAAAAGTACACACAATCACGCGCACATGCACACAGAGATAACACACACCCACACACGCTGGCCGCATCTGACCGCCGATCAATTACAGGAACACACCAATCTGAAGACATCTGACTTGTACTCAACTGATCGTAGAAATCTATTGAAAAAGTTGCCCACGGAAACCGAAACGTCGGATTACACTTCATTTCACCACTGTGTTTTGACTGAAAAATTCCACACCATACACTACACGGCGTTCAATCTTTTCAGCACTATTCGAGCTGAATTTGGCCTGTTCACGGTATACCACCGTTAAAAGATGAATTATAGAGAAACAATCTGCAAATTTGAATCCACTAGGTAAGAGGCGGTATTATATCTGACCAGTGCGGTCTTACACGTCATACCCTGGAACAGACCGACAGCCTGGCCTGCCACCAGCCACAAAAAGTGAAATTGGATGCTGCTCTTCAAGA